AAGGAGAAAGAAGTTAACCACAAGGAATAAGTGTGGTTTAAAGAAAATAAGGCAAAATATATTGTCACAGTTCAACATAGTAGTAGGTTTAAAAAAGTACATATATGCAATAAAATGTAATAGGAAGCAGAATACTAAGTAGATTTAACAACAACAAAAAATTTAAGTTACTGATGTAAGTAGAAATTGTTTACAAAATGAAAGAAATGTTTTTTTTAAAGAGGCAGCAAGTTAGATTATGCTGTTATATAAAAACATTTAACAAATTAAATATTCTTTTGAAATCCTAAAAATGCATTCTCCAGTTTTTAAGTCAATAACTGGAGAATGTAGAACATTATTTCATATACTCTTCAGTCCCTCCAACAGGATATGCCTTGTAACAGAAATAAGTAATTCATTCTGACATGTACAATAGACAAACCAGCAGCTATTTTAAGATGCCCTTGGCAGACAGAGGCTGATGCCCTGGAGGTCCAACTCATTGATTAATGAACCCCACCATTAAATATAAATATAGACATAAATATAAAGCTATAGTGCACGGGTCCTGGATTATCTGCCAAATGCAACTCACTCCACACTCTTGTTTTAGCTTGTAATAATAACAAGACTTCATTACTAAAATATGCAAATGAAACACTCCACCCACATAAAATGTTTCTGGATCATGAGGTCTAACATATATGCTCTTGTTCTGTCCTGCATGAAAACTGCCTAAAGCCCTCTATAAAGCAGAGATTACACCAAGATTATGCCACATATTTGTAACACCGAATAAATTAACAAGCTCAATTAGTTGAACACTGAATAAAAAAAAAGTCTAAGTATCCACAGAACATAAAGATTAGTGGTCACAGGAGACTAACAATGCTACTCTTTCTACTCGAATAGGTCGAATATAGTTGCTGAGCATTCACTCAACAAGCATTTGTTGAGTTGTACCTGTGCCAGGCACTAAGGAGAAAAAGATAAATAAGAGAAAGTCCCTGCCCTCCAAGGAGGACCTGTGAGGTGGCCCGACATAGAAACAGAAACAATATAACACTATCACTGCTCTAATAGAGCTGTTACTACCAAGAAGCTATGAGTACAGAGAAGAAATTCTAATGGTCTGTTTTGTTTTGAGGAAAACGCCAGGGTTCCACGAAAACTTCACATAGGTGGACACACTTGAGATTAAGTCTGAGAAAAGAATGAAGAAGCATTCATCAAGCAGGAAGCAAAAGAAAAATATCTTAGAACTTAACTTACAGGAACCAGATATTATAGTAAAGTCACTTCCTTTTATGATGAAGAAATTTAAAAGATGTGTTATCATATTTAATCAGGAGGCACACAGTTGCTGAGTGGCGGAGTTGAGGAGCCCAGGTCTCCATGTTTTTAACCACTCCACCCTACTTAATAACAGCTGGACTTTATAATCATACAAGAGAGATCATTTTGAAGTAAGGTTTTTCTATAGGCCATATTACTGAACTCTAAGTAAGACATCTGTTGATTCTAAAAATAAAGTTCTCTGGTTGCACACCATATTCATCTTTATATTTATCAATCATCACCCTTACCCATGTTTTAATTTTTAAATAATTTATGTTAATATAAAGCAAAAATTATTTAGTTTCATAATACACTGTACTGGTAAAGGTGAAGGAAAACAATCACTCTGATACTTATGTAACTGGTGGGAGTGTAACTTTGGTACAACACCTGTGAACTGCAGTATGGATGTAGTAAATGACATTATTTATAAGACTGGTTATTCACTACAGCACTGTTAGTAACAGCCAAAGATTGAAAGCAACCTAAATATTCATCAAGCAAAAAGTCCTTAAATAAATTAAGGTATATCAATAAAATAAGGTACAATGAACTCTAAAGAATGATAATGATGAAGAATGAAGGAGATCTATACACAGTGACAGGGATCACTCTCCAAAACCTCAGAAACTACTCTCTGGAGCTCAGTGACTCCTAAGTATCAGCCCCTGTGCAGGCCAACCTGGGAAAGAAACGGGTTACCTTCGCATTACTGATCACTGGTTAAGCAAACTCATGGCAAAAAATCTAGCCAAGTGGCCTTCTAAAACTGCCAATTAGACTGAGTTTGATAATACAATACTATAGTGCCCTCTAACTTTAAACTATTTTACAATATAGTAGTCCCCCCCCTTATCCGTGCGGGATACGTTCCAAGACCCCCCAGTGGACAACTGAAACAGGAAATAGTACCAAATCCTATATATACTATTTCTTCCTGTGATAAAGTTTAACTTATAAATTAGGCAATTTCACAGGCAGATTTGTTCTTACTGAAGATCTTAGCAACTGCAACATGATTTTTTTTTTCTTTCAAGTTGAGAACTTTCACCTTTTCACTTAAAGGAAGCACTTTACAGCTTCTCTTTGGCATGTCCAAATCGCCAACATCGCTACTCTTGCACTTTGGGACCATTAAGTAAAATAAAGGTTACTTGAACACAAGCTCTGCGATACCTTGACAAGTCGATCTGATCATCCAAATGGTTACTGAGTGACTGATGGGGAGGTAGCATGTACGGCACGGATATGATGGACAAAGGGATGATTCACATCCCAGATAGACACAGCGGGACGGCATGAGATGTATCATGCTACTCAGAACAGTGCACAATTTAAAACTTATAAATTATTTCTGGAATTTTCCATTTAATAGTTTCGGTCCCTGATTGGCTATGGTAACTGAAACCACAGAGGTGAAACCGCAGATAATGAGAGACTACTGTAACAGCCTGCGAGAATGAAAAGAGGTCTTACTTATAGTGCTTACAAAATTAAATACAAGAAACATCTACTCAAGGAGAAACTACAATATGACGATTTAACAAATCATAATTCTGTTGGTCAAACCAACGGTCCACGTGTGAAGGCAGAGCACAAGTGCATAATACATATTATAAATTTTTATAAGACAAATATATTTTGCCCTTATAATTTGAACTAAAATGGTTTGCTTTCTGTTTTAGAAAAATATTTAGTATTATTTCAAAATAGTAAAACTGTTAATAAAACAATCCTTTTTTGAGGTCAGAGTTCTTTGCTGATCTAATGAAAACTCTGGTACTCTCTATACCCCAAAAACCACCTAGAATTCAGGTTAAAAAACATGATCAAACTCAGATTTCTACTAGAAAAACTTTCGCTATTCAACAAACAGAAAATATTTTTACTCATAAACATTATTCTGTGTATATTTC